CAAGTGGATAATCCAAAAAAGCATAGTATAGAAAAGAAAGTATAAAAATTAATTATTAGATAAAAATTTAGAATTAGTAATAATAGCATTTATATTAGGAAAAAATAATGAAAACTTATAATCTTAAATACTTATTTTTCCAGCACTTCCATTACAGTGACCAAATTAGATTATTTTGTCTATTATCACATTCATGGAGATAACACTGATATGCAATCCTAGTGCTCTACTAATAAGACTCAGAGCTTCTCAAGGACTAAAATCTTAGCTAATGGAAGAGAAAAATCAATACAGGTAAGGAACATTTTGTTGCCTTTAAGCAAGAGACTTTCAAAACTGTCTCAAGAGCAATGCGGCAAAGACAAGGGAGACTATTTAAGGGGGTTTCCACATTCCAACAATAATTATAGTTCTTTGGAATAACTCGTATCTATGAAGAGGCTTGAATCCATAACAGTACTCAAAAATGAAAAGCATAGGGTATACAAAAAGGTACTAAAACCAAAAAGGACTTTTTTTAAAAAAAATTTCTAATAAGTAGGTTAAAGATGTGACATATACAGATGTTCGGTTAATTTTATATATATTTCTCATTAAATAAGAGAACAGCTACAGTGAATTTTAAGTCAAAAAACTCAAGAAAAGTTAGATTTTTCTTGGTTGACCAGAGAAGGCTACACTCCTTTGAAGCCTATATGTAACAGTCAGTTGTGAGGCAGTGATCAAGAAGAGAATCAGCTGTCCAGACTCCCTCCTCTCATCCCCTAGATGAATAAGCTGCTGGATATTTTGTTATTGAAATACTGGAGAAGCCAAGACATGATGAAGTAAAGGCTCACTGTCTGGGACTAAGATTTGATGAACATGGAAGCTCTCAGATGGTGGCCCATATTGCCATTATAAGGGTTTATAAGGACTCAACATAGTAACTAAACCTTGACTCTAAGGAAAAAAAAAACCCAGTCCAGAAAACATCAGCCCAGGGTAGAATCAACTTTGAAGAGATCCACTAGGATCCCATATGCCAACCAAAAAGCAAGTGGTTGATAACTTTGAATCTGGAAACTCTGCTAGTCTAAGACTGCATTCTTTTTAAGTCTGGCAGGGATTACTATAATTCTAGGAAAATATAAACACTGATAAACACACAGAAAAACAGGGAAAGGATAAAACAAATTTATAAATAATGAAGACATAAATCAAATCTATAGTATAAATACTTCTTAATCATTTAGGTGGAGGTATAATACATGTTAAATCCCATGGGGATTATTTATGTGTGCACATGCACAAGTGTGCTGTCGGCTTTTAAAAGTTTGTGAAGCTTTTAAATGAAACTGGTAGAAGTTTTATTGAAATATTTGGGAGAATTGGTCTACTTACGTTTCTAATCAGCATTTACATATTTAAGATGATATTATTCATAAAGTATGCTTTATTTGTGGCAAAAGTAGAATTTGAATATTTAGGAAAAATTTAATAATTAATGAGATCTAAAATGTGAGTATTAAAAAGGTACCGATAGCAGTAAATGTTTTCCCTACATAAAAGAGCCTTGGTTATTCTCGCAACGATGTTATTCTTTGATTTTTTAATAGGATTCTTGCTCTAATCTTGCATAAAATATAGCCCCACCCTCCAAGACCTTAGCAAAGACTGAGAAGCCAAGAGATAAAACAGACTCTGATATATACCGTCGTTCCATTTACATCTCTGATAAACATCAAAATCTTCACTGGGAACCCACAGAAGAAACATGTTTCTTCATGTGTCCTCCTTCCAACAACAAAAATACATAAAGTAGGTGTGTGATGCCTCTAACAAAGATACAGGTACACCTCTTACTTTACAGGGTTGATATTTTCAATGTTTCTCTTTAAAAGCTACAGTAGGTCAGCCTGACATGCTTTTTAGAGCATCGTAACTTGAACTTAGAGAATTGGCTCAAGTTGATAATGATAATGGCAGGGATGAAATCCCGTTTACACAACTGCCATGCCAGAAAAAGCAAACCTCTTGTATAACAGTCTTGATCAATGCGTTAGCTACTCCACACAATATTCAATATTCCCACAAAAATGTCCCAGCACAACAAAGGCTTGTGGACAGAGAGTGTATTGGAGCCCGTGTAATGGGATTTGACAAGAACCAGGCACTTTAGGCAGGCTCAATCAATGTTAATTGAAGCAGAAGTGATTCAAAGGCAAATGGGAGTCCTTGAGAGGTGAAAGGGGGGCTCTGGGATTGTGACTCCCTCCTTTTCCCATTACCCCTTTATATTTAATTACTTGTTCTAGCCGGTGAACTGTAATTTCATTTGCCATCAGGTGACTCTTGCCTGGTCTCATATGTTAGTTGAGTCTTTCATTTAAAGGAAAAGGATTTCATAACCTGGGGAGGTACCTATTTCACAGGAAGGAAACTTCTCTGGCAAGTGGGTCTCAGATTTATAAAGTCTCCTTTCCATATCCTAACACAGCAGAGGAGCAGTAGAAGGACAAGGGGAGAAAAGGTTTAGTCTTGAATGATACTGCTGCATTTTCTCTGGGACATTATTATTTCTATAATTGACCAGCAGCTGAATTTTTAATTCACTTGGACTCCCAGGCAGAAGTAGACCCTAAAACAGGAATTTATGAGCAGAGTAACTGATTATTGGGGAAGTGATTCCAGGAAACACTGGTTGAGAAGAGACGGCATGACATGGGAAGGAACGGCAAACAACAAAAGTGGGCTAACAAATTAGTTCCCACCACAGGCAGCTGGACTCCCATTGGGGAGCTCAGAGCCCAAGCAGACAATGCCTCAGTTGGCCCACCCAAGGGTGAGGAGGGGCATTTACATACCAACTCTTTTCAGTGGGGCTGAGGGCTAGCCTCAGTGGGAGGAAGAATGAACACCCCAGCACCTCTGGCCTGAGATCACACAGGCCCTAACAGCCAGAGAAAGCCCTCAGAAACACCAACAAGGTACCAACTGCATCTGCTACAACCTGCCTGCAAATGTGCAAAATGCTTTAAGCTCCCCTGGTCTTTTGAAAAGATACACAGTACCACCACCTTCTGTCCTCTGAACAGATGCACAGTTAACACCACCTTCTGAATGAGCTGCTGGAGCAAACAGGGAAGAGGTTGTTTCTGTCTGACATAAATGATGCCCTTTGACACAGCCTTAGGAACTAAGCTTAGAGTCAGCATCGTTTTGTTCAAGAATCTAATAGTATTTCACCTGTACATGGTGCCTTCTCAATTACCCTTGAGAAAGTTCTTGGACTCAACATTCGTATCCCTTGGGATCTCTTCTGGATAAGATACACTGAAACCTCTGAAAGCTAAACAGAAGTAGAATTCAGCATAAGATAGGCTGAACCAGGACCCCATCCAGAAGAACTTTTACTTTTCATATTGATTTGCAATCCGTTGGCATACATTTGCCAAGAGCTTAGACAGTAATTGTGGGACGCAGGTAGGAAAGTTGATAATTCATAGCCTTAAGTTACGAGTAAGGATGATATGGTTCCAAAGGTAAGGTTCACAGTAAAAAGCCAGAAAAGCAGACAGACACCAGGACCAAGATGAGGAAGCAGCTGACCAAAGTGGTAAAGTGCCCAAATTTTGCAGTCAGGAGACCTGGGGCATTGCAGCTATGACTCACCAACTGGGGAACCTGGTCTACTTACATAGTAATTTCATGCCTCAGTTTCTCATCCAGGTTCTGGGAGTTCAGAGGACCTACCTCATATGGTTGCTGTGATGATTAAATGAGCAGTCACTTGCAAAGTGCTTTGCCCAGTGCCCAGCGGAAATAAATACTTAATAATTATGACCTGCTTCTCTGTTATTATTATCGTTTTAATGACTTCAAGGTAGAAAGTAGAAAATGTTCTTTCTACTATGCATGGCTTGAAGTCCAGGGATATCTGTGGGACTATAATACATACCACGGCAACCAGAGAACAACTACCTTCTTTGCCACCCTAATCATCTTAGCTCATGCCTTTGCTTCACATTTTGGCCATCTGGAAATCTCAGGTGTGGTACTGGAGACAGTAGGGGCTTTTTCAAAAGTGCTTTCTACTGACATGGCAGACACGGTCTGATGAGACCTGAGACGAGTCGAATTCTTTCCTCCACAATGAAGGAGACATCTCTGTCAGTATATAGAGAAACTCACCTGCCTTTGGATGAATGGGCCTCATGGTGCAAACAAGCAAGAAAGATGGTCACTTATACATCTATGAGTGTGGTAAATTTCACTTTCCATAAAAGCCGGAGTGTCATCCCTGTGAAGGATGTAAAACACCTGCCGTATTCCACTGAGGGAGGAATCAAGGTACTTGACTACATGGTTAAGGTAGCAAGCTGCAGATTCTGTTCTCTTGACTTCTATCACCTTCCTAATAGCTTTAAGCAAAGAGACCCAAGATGTGACCCAAAGGCTACTCAGTGTTCTCAGTCAACTATATGGTCAACCATAAGGACTTACAGTGTTCTTTCAAATCTCTAACAAATAAAATAATCGCCATTTACTGAGTCCTGCCATATCCCAGTATGTTTACAACATGTATGGTGTCAACCATGTGATGTCCTTTTATAGGTGCTTACAACCATAACTACAGGAAAAATCATCATTCCCATAGTGTGTGTGTGTGTGTGTGTGTGTGTGTGGAATTTGAAGTATTAAGAGTGTGCAGCTTGTTCTGGAGCCTCAGAGAAATAAATGGGGGCTCCAGAATGAGATGGCAGCACACTGGCCTAACTAGGCTGTGCCATGACTAGAGAGGTCCAGAGTTGACCAGAATATGAAGAAGGGAAGTTGACCACACACACAGACCCCACATGGAGACAACAGATGGCTCTGGAGACATTACTGAAAGAGCAGTAACACTGCGTCCGGCTCGATCTCTGACAGGTCAACCACTCAAAGGTCTACCCTGGACTTTCTTACAAAGCACTGAGGACACAGTGTTGCAAGAAATTGACAGAGACCTTGTTGCTGAGTCAACCAAAGGTGTTTTATTGCAAGGCAGGCACAGTTACAGAGCATTAAGTCAGAGACGCCACAATTTCCGTCAACCCAAACACAGAAGGAGACCTTGTTCTTGGATTCCTCCAAATTGAGCAGATCCACAGACAGACCTGAGCAACCCTGTTGACGAGGTCAGTTGATCTCCAATTCCTGCTTTGCCTTGGAAAATGGCATTTCCAAACTGTCCATTTATTGTTGGTTAGCTTACATTCAGGGTATTTGAAGCCACTTTTGATATTTTGTGATTTCTCACCATTCTAACTATAGGATCAGACAGGAATTAAATTTCAACCTACAAGGTTTGTGTTTCTTTGTAGTGTAACATATATATCAAATAGCATGCAAGAGCCCCAGGTATAATGTATGTTTGATTATGTTTCAACTCCAAGCGATACCACATTGAGATCGCTTCAGTAGCTAAGCAAATGTGACTCGGGCCATTACCTGGATCCAAAACTTGGGGGGAAAAAAGAAAGAAAGAAAATGTATTTTTAATCTAAGGATCAGTACTACACAAATCAAATCATGCAGCCCCATTTACCAAGTAACCTGGGATTGCAATTCCGAAAATCCTCAGGGAAAGAATTTGTTCATAAACAAGGCAAATTTCAGCAACAGAATTATACTTTCCAAAGCAATTCTTTTCTTACAGTTCTCAGGGCCAAGGGAAGAAAAAGACAAGACAGGGGTGGGGGTAGAGGTGGGGGAAGGATAAAAAAGGAAAGAAAGCCAACCATTCCAAAGTATCCAGAACTGTGTTATGCAGGTGATGGAAAAGCAAAAACAGTCCAATCAGGAAGCACATGTATCTCAGAGAGCTTCAGTCTGAAGGGGTGCTGGGCTCGAGTCCCACTCTGAGTGCTTCTTGGTTCCAGCTGCTGTGTTTCTGTCCTGGGGACCAGCAACATCTCCCTCACTGTCCTTCAGCAGTTCCCCCAGACACCTGAGAAGGTGGTCTTCCTCTGGCCAACAGCGGAGCCTGTGGAAGGACACACGGGAAACAGCCCATCAGGCCCGGGCCCAACCATCTGACAGCTCAAGGCCGATGGAGTCAAGGGCAGAGGGAAGAGTGATGTTTCCTCACCTCCTCCAGGCTTCCTTCCTGCCGCCTCTCCAGAAGGGTGGCTTTATGCTTTGGAGCAGCCAATGGCTTGGAATCTTTGAGATCTTGTAGTGAACTCATTGGGGTACCCATCACCTTTCAGTCCATGATATCTCTGTTGACAAGAACATAAAATAAATACCCCTGCATCACTGGTCTATGAATCTTGAGGAGAAGGAGACACAACAGAGTAACACGGACACATGGAAAGGAGTGAAGGGAGAATGAGAGAGAATAAAACTCAGAAAGGATACTCTACCTGCCACCTTTCCCTGGAATTTCCCTAGGTGGTCGCATCCTGGACAGGAGGCTCCAGGTGAAGTCTAAGACCGCCCAGAGGTCTCAAAGTCTGAAAGGTCAGGAAGCATCATTCCACTGCCATGCAGGCACCTGAACCCAAAATTCAGCTCCTTGAGAACCTCAGCCAGCCTTGCCCCAATTCTCCTGAGTAGATCCTGTCACTGAAATACTACATAACAGAGAGCAAAGTGCAGTTGAAAATTAGCAGGAGGTTCTCCATCTTTCTTTGCCCCAGGGTGGTGGTGAAGGAAAGGGTGGAGGTGGGGTGGGAGGGGTATCAATAACCACCCAGGCTTCTCGTTAGTGATTTCAGTCTTAAACTTCAAACTCTCCATTTCCTACCCAGTGATAGAAGATTCCTCCAAGCCCATGGTCCAGGCCCTTAGGTTTAATCTAGCCTTGCTCGTTGAATCTACAGCATCATCCAGATCCTAAAGTTTCTATACCTGCATCAGGAGAATTCCAGAACTGAAGCATGCCAGACCCCTGGTTCCACCTGTGATCCCCCTTTCCCAAAACTCATGGGAAGTCCAGGGCTACCCCTCTGTCCTTCAGAGAATCTACCTCCTTGGAACACCGGGTAGGCTGCCCACCAGTGAAGAACACAGGCTAAGAATCACAAGAACTTACAGTACTACCAGGAAAGGTAAAGAGAGGAGAACTTACCCAAACCCACCCAGCTGCCAGTGTCATACCAAAGGGTAGGTGCTGGTGGGAATGCTCTGCCCTCAGCACACATGATAAAGAGGGTGCACTGTCTTGTAGAGGACTTAAAATCAATAATGAAATTAAGAGTTACTCTACTTTTTACTATAACCACGCACTGGCAAATCTAAGAATGCTGGTGACCAGAGAGTCCCTCCCACCCAGGCAAAACTCCACCCCAAACCCCCCCTCTCTGCAAACTATTCATGGTGTCCTCATCCTGTCAGAGTCTGTCTTTGTGCTCTTCCCTCTGCCTGGAATCTTCTTCCCCCATACTATCTGCCCACGTTACCAACTTTCAAGCTCGATTTTGGATGCTACCTCTTCAAAGAGGACAGTCATGACCTCTTGACTAGGAGTAATCCCTCTTCCTCTTAACTCCCGTGGCAATTTATCTATGTTCTTTTATTGTATTATAAAATACAATATATTGTATTATACTTGTATTATACTTGAACATGCAAAAATAATATCTTCCCTATCCATACATATCAAGATGCTGAGAAAAATATGTGGGGTTTGAAATTAGGCCTGGATTAGATTCCTAGGTCTCACCATGAACTAGTGGTGTGATACTGGGCTAGTTTACTTACCTCTTTAGTTTATTTCAACATCTATAAAATGAGGAAAGTATAACCCACCTCATAGGGCTGTTGCATTAAATTAGATCATACACACAAAATATTTAGCCTGAGATAATATACCGTTGACAGTTATTAGTTTCTCTACTCTCTTCATAAGGGTAGAATCTTCCTCTTTCCAACTCCTGCAGGACTTACTTACCCAGAAAAGTGGTAAAATGTGGAGGGTACTAAAAATGAGGGTAGGGAAGAGCAACAATATAGGCCCATTTGGAGGATTCAGTGAGGGAGTGTATGTTAAGTTCTTAGATCAAAACCTGGTACATAGTATGGGTTAAAGGAATGTATATTAAATAGAATATTTAATACAATGTTCTGTGAGTTAATGTAGGATTTCCTGACTCCATAAAGCATGCCAAGTATCAATTATCAAGATATTCCTTCCCTTGCTTCAAACTTCTTCCTCTCTTCATCAAATGATAATAAAAGGTAAATAGGGGGATGCCTGGGTGGCTCAGCGGTTGTGTGTCTGCCTTCGGCTCAGGTTGTGATCCTGAAGTTCTGGGATCGAGTTCCACATCAGGCTTCCTGCATGGAGCCTGCTTCTCCCTCTGCCTATGTCTCTGCCTATCTCTGTGTCTCTAATGAATAAATAAATAAAATCTTAAAAAAAAGGGGGGGGGGGAATAGCGACGTTTCTGAAAGTAGAACTTTCAGAAAATCACATAATGTTAGAGCTAGGAAACCCTTTCTCCCCATAGGTAACACATGCTGAGAACTTGTGATGTGTGAGGTACCAAACTAAGAAATTTACAGTGTCTTACTTAACGTTCATCTGAACCCTGTGAGGAGCTGCCCTGACTATTTCTATTTTACAGATTTGGCAAATAAGGCCCAGGGAGGTTAAGGAAACTGCCTGTGGATGCACAACCAGTAAAATGCAGAGCTGGGCCTGTTAACGAGGTTAAGAATCACACTCCCACTCACTATGGATGTACTGTAGCACTTTCTGTGAGAAGGGAGATGTTGTGTGCTAATATGGTAGTCATGAGCCATATGTAGCTCCTGAGCTCTTGAAATTTTCCTACTTGGTACTGACTCATGTGTCAATGAGAAACTGACTTTTAAATTTTACTTAATGCTACTTAATTTAAATTTAAGCATACTGCTGTACTGGACACTGCAGGTCTACTATACCTTGAAGACCTTGCAGAGACCCCCTGTTTTGATGTTAGAGATGACTTGATTTGCCCTAGACATAAAGTCAGGGCAGAACCTTCAGAGGGGGAAATAGGGGTTTGCTAATTACAGAGCAGCATAGGATTGGAGCAAGATACACTTGGGTTGGAAATGCAGGTTCTTTCATTCACTGGCTGTGCCCACAGCACATTAGTCAATGTTCCTGGGCATCTGATCTCTTTTTAGTTAAGGAGGCATAATACCACTTCTAGGGTCAAAGTGATCAGCAAGTAAAACAGCATATGGAGAGTGCTTAGCACATACTTGGTATAATTTAAGGGGAAGTTGTAGCACACATACACACATAACTTATAAGAATTCCTCTCTCAAGATGCCTGGTTAGCTCAGTGGTTGAGTGTGTGCCTTCGGCTCAAGGCCTGATCCTGGGGTCCTGAGATCAAGGGGAGCCTACTCTTCCCCCTCTGTCTGTGTCTCTGCCTCTCTGTGTGTGTGTCTCTAATGAATAATAAAATCTTTAAGAAAAATTCTTCTCTCCATGCTCAGTGAGAGAGCAGAAGAAAGTAGTATCAGTGGTGCAGGGGAGAGGTGTTCCACCTGCATTCCACTCAGTATACATGTGTTTGTCACAAGTCGAGCACAAGATGGGAAATACAGATGCTTTCTCATTTCAACAGGCTCTCAGGGTCTTAGTGCATGATTCTAGTGTTTATATGTGATTTTCCCTTAATGCCCTGACTTTAGAACTTAATCACCACCTCACCCCATGTTAAATAATGATCCTTAATGTTATTCTGCACCAAGTTCTTATGTGCAGGCTATTATTATGATTATTTCCATAACCCAGTAGCAACACTCCTTATCCCAGGCAGCTCTTGGCTACATTCTTCTTCTTGCTAGCTAGCTCACTCAAATGCACATGAACTCTCTCTTTTCTCTTTTGTGTGTATACATACATTTATGTTCTCTCTCTGGGTTGGTTTTTAACTTAACTGTGTTTCGCCTCCAAACCCACCCTGCTTCATAGTGCTGGGGCCCTGCAAAAGCACATCTCTCCTGGGCCGCAGGCTCCCTGTTAGGTCTGCCCGTAGTGGGAGGAGAAGGAACTGGCTCCTATGAGATTCCTATTCTGTCACATGGCTCCAGCGAGAACTCTTCACAGTGGCAATAGCAACTGGTTCCAGTCAGAGCAGCTGACTCCACTTTGCAGTTTCTATTTCCAGCCCCCTTCAGAGATACCAGCACAGCCAGCTAGTGCTCCCTCCTCAGAAGTCTGGGTTCTCCATCTGCAGGGCCCATCATCCAAGTATCTAAGTTTTCATTACCCTAACTTCTTTCCTTTGTTCCCCGAGCCCTAGAGGTCCAGCTGCTTCCTGCACTCTGTGACCCCTGTTGGATTATTTAACACCTGGCTAACAAGTGATGAGGTTCAAGAAATGCCATCCCAAAACGTGCCACCTTGGCATCCTGAATATTGTAAACTGAAATCTGAGATAATAGCAGAAGTGGTAAGGTCACTCTCTTCTCTGTCTCCTGTCTCTCTTCTTCCCTGAAACAGGTCACTGAGCCCTCCTGTGAGAGGTGTCCTCTCTATGCCTGGAGAAAAGGAGCACCCTCATCTCTAAAGACAAAGGGACACCTAGAAGAATTTTATCAAGGAGCCTTGCTTAGTTTCCCCCAGGTTACTATGATTACTCCCTAGTCTTTGACCTCTCACATCCCCCCACCACTGCTCACTCTTCATCCTGCCTTGCTGAGAAATTCACAGCTCTAACCACTGTTGTGGGTCTTCATTTCTTTGTGAAGGCTCCATGTCACATAACATTTATATTGAATAAATCTATATTCTTTTCTCCTATTAATCTGTCCTTGTCAGCTTACTTTTCAGACAGAGGCAGGGACTCTGAAGAGTCGAGGAAAACTTTTTCCTCCCCTACAAAAGTCTTCATAGTAAATCTTCCTGTTAAAGTAACTTGTTTAGCTTCTGTCTTCTGACCGGATCCAACCTGATACACTATTCCTCTCCCACTTCCACAGACAATCTATGTTACTGTGTATATAAGAATATATGAACATGTCTTACTTTTATTTTCCCCACATAAAAGTTATCAATAAATTATTAACATATCCTGGCACTTCTATTCTAGATCTTCTCTGCCTAGCATGTAAACACAGGATAGAAAAAAAAGGAATAGAGCACATCAAATAACATAATTTGATGTATCAGAGAGTAATTAACCCCTGAGGTGCAATCTCTGGGAGCTCATTCCTGGGCACATCTGCCAGGGCAGCTAAAAATCAGGTAAAACACATGGACATTTCCATTAACAAA